TTTGATTCCCAACCCAAAGCAAACAAAATGACAATCTGACCCATTATTGGAGAAAGCCCTGGCTCTGTTGGACCCAGTGAGGGCCGTCCTATGTTACTGTATTTCATAAGCCACCGGAGAGTTTTTTAAAGGAGAACCTTGACTCCAAGCTTTATTTGCCCGACCCTTTATGGTAGATGCGCAATACAATGCAGTCAAGTAAGGTGCACCTGCTGTATACAAGGTTCTGTGCTGGATTGAAATTACAGGGAAAATTTAAGGGGAAGATTCCTGGATCACTTAGTGGGCACTTTAGAGGTCTGAGAATAAGATTATTCATACACATACACATATAACTTGAGAGTGAGTCACATTTTTGTAGTGTGGGCCAATCTTGACCTGTCCTTTTTCTGATCTAATAGCTCATTTAAATCTTTACTTTCCTTAGTAAGAACTGTGAGCATGCCAAATGATGTAAATTAAAAAGGTGAGATAGTAGGACAGATATTTGTTTTTAAATTTCTGTTTTTAGAACTAATTTTTGATCGAGATGGAGACTGGTGGTGGTGGTGGCGGTGGTTTTTTAGAACAAGCTAGTGACTTAAAAACAGAAGTATAAACACAGAAGGTTTATTTATTTGCTGATCACTTTAGATACGTCAGCCAGTGGAAGGCTTTTATGGGTAACATACATAGTATGTGTGTACTGTGTACTCATGTGCCCTAACGTCAAACATTACCTGCTACATACATGCTGAGTTCAGCAAATTGCCTCCCTGTCCCCAAACAGTCTCAGTCGCATCAAATCTGAAATGCATCATGACAAGCATTTCTTGTAATTGTTTAATAAAGGACATTTTCAAGAAAATCTAATCCACCTCTTTCTAATTCAGTTATAGCTTATTCCCTTAAGATGTTACCTTACCCGAGCTAGCTCTGCTTAACAAAAAAATAAAAATAAAAAATCTTTTTCTATCTTTTTTAAGATTTCTGTGCAAACAGGTTGTCCTTCAAATACCTGGGGGCCTCCCCAGACCCCAACTCATGTTTGATTCAAGTTCAGAGTGAGCCTTGTTTAATCGATTGGACTCCCCAAGAGGCTGGAAAACATACTACCCATGATCAGGAGAAGAGAGCTGTAAAGCAAGCATTGAATTTTCTCACAACTCAAACCTAACCCTTCTCTCCCTCCTTATAGGATCGAATGGAAATTGCAAAGGTTACATGCAACACCCCACTTGAGCTGACTTTTTCAGTTCAGGAGAAACAAGGGCAATAGCTAGGGAATGTGACTTTAAACCGAGGGCCATCCTGCCCAGGGATAGCCCCTCATAGCGATTACATCAATAGATCTTGGCAGCTTTATTTTAGAACTAGGAAGGATGGCAAGAGAAGCAACAAATATACTCACTTTTAAAGCTGATATACTGGAGAGGCCAAAATCCTCCTTTCCTCCTTGATATCCCAAGTTACTCATGCCAGTTTGTGAAACTGCGCATCATTATTTTAGTTGTCTGCAGCTTTGGGTGGGTTTTAATAATCTCACTGGGCTGGCTCCAAGCAAGGCCCCAGGCATTACAGTTAAGAGTTTGCTGCAGGACATTTGGTGGCCAGCAACTCAGGTTGAACTAAAGCAGTGGTTCTCAACCTTCCTAATGCCGCGACCCTTTAATACAGTTCCTCATGTTGTGGTGACCCCCAATTTCATTGTTACAAATTGAACATAATTAAAGCATAGTGATTAATCACAAAAACAATATGTAATTATATATGTGTTTTCCGATGGGCTTAGGCGACCCCTGTGAAAGGGTCGTTGGACCCCCAAAGGGGTTGCGACCCACAGGTTGAGAACCGCTGAACTAAAGGAGCAGAGTCATTGACAAGCTTTGGAACAAGATTTGGGGTGGGGTTTTTTTTCTCCTTTCTCATAACATAGAAGCTGATTGTCCTCTGATGTAACAGAGATAAATTGGAATGGGCTCTGGCAAAGGTTTTATTTGATCAACAAACACTGCCCAAGGGATAGCTGTGCATGTCCCTGCTTTCCACAGCTCTCTCTTCTGTGGATTCATCCCTGCCCCACATTTTCCCTTTTCTCCAACCCTCCCCACAACTTTCCTAGACGAAAAATCTCTGAACAAAAGCTCCCCAGCACAGAATGTTCATTATCAGGTGACAGAGGGTCAGCCTGTGAGCAAGGAATGTTTAGCCAGAGAGAAGGGAAGTCGGCTTGTGCTGGAACCAGCAGCACACAGGCCCTTTCAATTGCTGTTCATTTCTCCTTCCTGCGTTGCTCACCCTGGAGAAGCCTCAGGCCTACTAATATCTCAACACCCCCCTACCCCCCACCCCTCAAGCGCTCAGCTGGATTGTTGATGAATCCTGGCCCTACTCCGGCTGCAGATTCTGCCCATAGTCTGGGGGGCGTCCTGCCTGAATGGCCGTTTTTTACGCAAAGCCACTTGATGAATGAAAACTTGAAACATTCTTTTCAGGGGTGGGAACCTTTTTCCTGCCAAGGGCCATTTGGACATTTATAGCATCATTCTCGGGTCATACAAACTTATCAACTTAAACATTAGCCTGTTATGTTTGGTCAAACATTCAATTAACTCACACCTAATGCCTTGGCCGGGCCAGACCAAATAATTTCTCGGGCCTTATATGGCCCAAGGGCCAGACGTTCCCCACCCCTGCTTTAGATGTTCCTAGGCATTTGAATCACTCTCTATATGGGTTTGACATTAAAAGGGAGGAAGGGGAAAAGATGGGAACTACCTGTCCAAAGAGTAGGTGATCCTGTGCTATCTCAGCAGACCCACACAGGAATCGGTTCCCTGTGGCATGAGTCGTGTTTGCAGGGTCCCATCAAAGATGAAGGTGACTGGTTTTGTTTTGTTTTGTTTTTAGTTTTTATCTTTCTTCTTTCATGGTGACTGTCAATATTGCTGCCACCATTCTGTCTGGACTTTCCTTGTAACATCTTCAACATTGCCCTAAATTTGTGCGATTCCAAATCTCTGTGGCTCCATGGAGAAATAGGAAGACCAGCTGAAGAAAAAGTAAAATTATTTTCTTGTAGTTTTTCTTTTGGGTGAGTATTGGGAAACAAGGAAGTTGAGGAGGTGAGCTGGGCTCTGGAGAATCTCTTGGTTACAAGGGAAGTATAGCTAAGGGTGATCCTCCGGGAAGCCCACTAAAGTGAAAGTCAAGAGCTACAGTGCCCACTGGAGTTGCCAGGGACTGTGACATGCATCCGCCCAAATTGGACCTTAATAATAAATACCTCAGATTCACTGTCACACAGAAATTATGGGACCTATGTGACATGACCAGAGCTACATGGATACAATGAGACAATAAGGACTGTGGAGTAAGTGTAGAGGGCTGGCTGATGTTGGAATCAGAGCGTGGGGGTGTCGAATGGGGGGAGGGGGGAACTTTCTTTTAACAAATCAGCACTATAGTCCTGCTGTGGAGATAAGAAAAGTGGTGATGAACAGGCCCAAAATAATCTCCAAGGGCACCAGTCTTTTTGGAGTTATGACAATCTACCCACAAAGTCTCTGATTTCCCAACATTCCCCTTCCGCTCCTTACAGGAGTGGCATTGATGTATAAGCCTAAGGGGATCAAAGTTAATTTAATTTTGAGGATTTCTCAACAGACTTCAGCTGCAGGTTGTTGTGAAACTGAAGTTGGACAAACGTAGGCCGAGAGAAACAGATGATCACCCCAGGAAACAAAAGACAAGTAAGACAGCCCGGCTGGCGTGTCTCAGTGGTTGAGCATCGACCTATGAACCAGGAAGTCACGGTTCGATTCCCAGTGAGGGCAAATGCCTAGGTTTTGGGTATGATCCTCAGTGAGGTGTGTGCAGGAGGCAGCCAATCAATGAGTATCATTGATGTTTCTATCTCTCTCTCCCTTTCCCTTCCTCTCTGAAATCAATAAAAAAATATTTTTTTTTAAAAAACAAGTAGGACAGAACCCCCTTTTTCAGGTAAGGGCAAATAACAGTAAAAGAGAGGAAGCAAGTTTATTTAACAAACGATTTTATGACCTATGAGATCTACCCTTCCAGGATCCAGCTGAGGCTCACACTGCTGTGCTCTGGTCGGGGAGAGGTGACCTTGCGTGAGCCCAGGGCCACCGTGGAATTACAGACAGCTGGGTAAAGGCCTGGCGGGGAGCCTTCAAAGGTAAGTCAAGCGAGTTGGTAAGTTTCCCCAAACAAAGAACACACACATGCACAAGTACTTGATAGAGAACAAATTTCTATAAACATTTCCTTCTGAGCAAAGTTTGAGGCGCAGGCCAGCTTTTTCCCATAAAAAGGAGAGCGATGAATGGCGGTGATTACACTCACTGGTTTTCTTTGTGAGGTCATATTTTTTCATTATTTGCCGGAAGTAATCATGCACATGCACACGGAGACGGATAAGCCATCTAATGCAAATACCACCAAGCTTACAGCTCGGCCTCCTGTTAGAAGAGAAGTCTCTGAAGTTCCTCTGCTCTGAAGTAAGTCCTTCTTCCTGTGCCCTTGGACCAGGCTTTCCTGAGAGTAGCCAAGGATGTTTTCCATCCTCTTCAGCTCAAGCTAGCATCTAAAGCGGAGAGAAACAGGCTCAGCTTCGAGCACGGAAGCTGGAGAGCAGACTCCTTACTGGATCTCTAGCTGCCTTCTGCATGTCCAGTGCCACGTGAAGCCCTGGGGGAAACACAGAGGAACAACACCCAGCTCTTGCCCTTGAGAAGTTCGTGGTGTAGGGGGGGAGCCAGGGCTCCTCTCATGGTAGCTGCTCCTGAATGGGGGCCATGGTTGCTAGGCAGCAGGTCCAGAACAGTTATTCAAGTCGGGAAGTCAAGTCCTGCTTTTAGCTCTGCCCCTTGACGTGTGAGATAAGCCGCTTGTCTCAGGATCCTCTGCCTACTCAGAACAGTTATTCAAGTCCTGCTTTTAGCTCTGCCCCTTGACATGTGAGATAAGCCGCTTGTCTCAGGATCCTCTGCCTACAGTGTAATACATATAATTAGGGAATTACTTAACATCTCCTGTAATGAGCTGCAGTTACATATGCCCAGATATATCTTAATGACTCAAATTAAAAGGGAATATAATTCTGTTCCCAGGTCATCTTGAGTAAAATCCAAACACCTTTCCCACCAGTCTTACAGATCATTATTATACTAGAGGCCCAGCGCATGAAATCGCGTGAGACCCAGACCCGCCGCTCTGGCGGGGACCCAGACTGACTCCCACCACGCCGAGAGACCGAGACCTGCCGTGCACCTCCTGTTGACTGGTCGTTTGGTTGTTACGGCGTTACGGCCACTGGCTTTTTATAATATAGATTTCTTTGGTGTTCTCCAAAATGCCATTCACAAATTCAGTAAGTACTTGCTGAGAAACCGAATGAGCAACTGACTCAAGAATCATTTTGAATTCTCTGGATCATTCATTGGCTCCTCATGCTACAATGTCTAGTGCTGAGACAACTACGGTCCTTCACTCTATCATGGTCATCTACCTGGTATCCATTCCACCTGTTTCTAGTAATAGCCCCTCCTTTGGCTTTGGGAACAATCCCTCCCTATTAGATACAGTCATGGTGGTTCCACAAACCTAAGGTAGGCTAGAAAGAGAACATCAGAATTGCAATACTGAATGTTCTTGAGAACGATCCACGTTCTACTGAGACTGTGGTATCCTGAGGAGATTATTTCTTAGTTCCTGATGCCTCAATCCCAGGGCCTGCCCTGGCTCCTGTCCTCTCTGAGCCTGTATATTCTGCTTTCCCTTTAGTTCCTTGACCTGCCTTCATATTCATACAGTAAATATCTTATGCGCTTAAATTAACTAGCCTTGGTTTCTGTTGCTTGCAAGGGAAGTGTTCTAACTCCAGCCACACCCCTTAGAAAAAGTCCAGGTAATTTAACTGGGGTAACAAAATAGAGAAAAAAGGACTTCCCAACTAAAAGAAGTCTTCAAAATCTAGTCCAACTCTTTTGCTTTGCAGACAATCTGACCCAGAGAAGTGTAGTGGCTTGATCAGAATCATAACGTTGGTTGGTGAGAGTCCAGTTTAGAACCCAGGACACCGGGCTCCCTGTCTAGGAGCCTTTGCACTTTTTCGCTCTGTTTCTTGTCCACGGGTCTCCTCTTCCATGGTTATTGCCTGTGGCTGCTTTCATGCTCAGCAGCAGAGTTGAGTAGTTACAGCAGAAAACATAAATTAGTTCCCAAAGCCTAAATTATTTACTGTCTGGCCTTGACAGAAAAAGTTTGCCTATACCTGCCATACACAATTCGTAAATGAATGAATGTGGCTATGTTCCAATAAAACTTTATTTATAGACACTGACATTTGAATTATATATCATTTTCAAGTTTCTCAAAATATTCTTTTATTTTTTTTTCAAACTTTTAAAATGTAAAAACCATTCTTAGTTCATGGACTGTACAAAAACATGCAGCAGGCTGAATTTGACCTGCAGGCTGTAGTCTGTTGACCCCTGGTTTAAGCCCAGTTTCTGCTATTTGCAATGAAATACAACCTAACTGAGTCCATGCGCGTGCTAAGGCAGCACTGCCGTCTCCTTCTAGCCGCTATCATGATCATCTACCGGGACCTCATCAACCATGATGAGATGTTCTCCAACATCTACAAGATTCGGAAGATGGCAGACCAGCTGTGCCTGGAGGTAGAGGGGAAGATGGTCAGTAAGACAGAGAGTAACATTGGTGAATCACTTGTTGGTGGAAATGCCTCCTCTGAAGGCTTGGAGGGCAAAGGTACCAAAAGCACAGGAATCACTAGTGTAGAAGCATCAAAAGTTGGGAGACAGGAAGGAGCGTGACAGCACTAAGACATCTAATCAGCTGGCAGGTAAGCAATCAAAACAAACCACTCAACTTTCCATGGATTTTTGTCATCTATGATTTTTCCCCCCCTCAACCTTGGCATGATTGTTTAGGAACTAATATATCTTGGCATTTAGGTTTAATATTTGAAGTTCATCAGTTTCACCTGAGTGTCTTTCTTCTGTTAAGTTCAAGTAGAACTAAACATGTTTTACATTATTTTTAAAATCACGTATAATATGATGCTGTTACTATAAAATTATTTTTGTTCTTAATCTCTCTCCCTCTCTCTCCTTCATATAGATAGATAGATAGATAGATAGATAGATAGATAGATAGATAGATATACTAGTATTGGTAATTCTTGTTATGAACTACACCATGTGTCAAGCACTATGTTAAGTGCTTTCCATGCATCTACATATTTAATCATAAGATTCCTAAGGGGTAGATACTATGGTCACCCCCATTTTACAGGTGAGGAAAAGGTATGGGGATATTCCTATGGTGACAGACAGGAACTGGGAGAGCTGAGGGTCAAACCCAGGGCTGCAGACTCCATGCTCTTAACCATCACCTCCATTGCTTCTCTGCAAGTGGGCAGGTAGGTCACTTGTTGCTCTCCTTGTACTTTGAATTTTTAATTGATGATTATGTTCATTAAAAAAAGCCAGCACCGCCCTAGCTGGTTTGGCTCAGTGGATACAGCATCAGCCTGCGGACTGAAGGGTCCCAGGTTCGATTCCAGTCAAGGGCACATGCCCAGGTTGCAGGCTCGATCCCCAGTAGGGAGCATGCAGGAGGCAGCCAATCAATGATTCTCTCATCATTGATGTTTCTATCTCTCTCTCCCTCTCCCTTCCTCTCTGAAATCAATAAAAAAATTTTTTTTTTAAAGGCAGCACCAAACTATAAAAGAGACTCAACTTGCAAACCAGAATGAATACTCCCAGGTATTACATAGGCCCACTGAGCGGAACCTAAAACACCTCCTGCCCCCACAACACCCCTCTCCCAACCACTAATCTAGGAGACTCCTTGGAGCAGAGGGGCGTGTTCAGAGGACCAGCTCCTGACAAACCAGCACGGGCTTTGGAACAATAAGTGGTCTGAAACTGTAATGATAATCATCGCAAAGGGGTGGATGGAAAGTCAAAACAGCATACCTGTGTGTTATTGGCTTTGGGCAGATTAGCTGGAGGAAATCAGCATTCTTAAGGGATCACCTCTGTGAGAGAAGAAAATGTGTAGTAAACAAAGGTGGAAGGCGGCCCGGGCGTATGCAGTCACGCCTGCAGTCACTGCGTCCTGAACAATTTGCTGGACGGACCCGGCTGCATTGGAAACGACATAAGGTGACCGGTGACGGGTGACGGCGTGACGCCTTCTGCCGCCCAAGGGGCGTATGCAGTCACGCCTCCCGTCACTGCGTCCTGAACAATTTGCTGGACGGACCGGCTGCATTGGAACCGACATAAGGTAACGGGTGACGGGTGACGGCGTGACGCCTTCTGCCGCCCAAGTGCTAGGTAATAAGGGTGGTAATGGGGAGCGGCTCCCGCGGGGGCAGAGGAGCAGCTGCTGGTGTCACCTGGGAATGGCGCCCACATATAATTCTCCTCTCCTGACAAGGGTTCTCAAGTCCCCCTGTCGCTGTCACTCACCCGCAACATTAATGACTAAAGGGGAGAAGGCGAAGAAAGGCCTGGGCCCCTGAAAGAGAGAGGAAGACAGAGAGAGGGGGACAGAGCAAGTTCATAAATAAAACAGGAGCCTGAGGGAAGAGCTGCTTTGTCAGAATATAAATATTTCCCTTCTGCTTTTATCTTTAATGTAGTGTGAGAAGCTTATTAAAGGGAAAGGCATCTCTGTCCCTGGAGCCTCGCACAGCCTTGCGGGGAGGGAGCTGCCTGCAAAGGGCGCACCTCAGCCCCCACTTGGGAAGTCTCCCCGCTGGAGTGAGCGCCTTGCCAGAGCCAGGAGGAAGGGCTGGGGGAAGAAAGGGAAGCCATTGTGGCCGGAGGATGCTTATCTCGATGGGCCTGGTGTCCTGTTCTGTGAATCGCGGGAGATGCTGAGAGACCGAGGCCGGGAGTGCCCGTCTGCTCAAAGGCTTGGCTGCCGAGGCCTGGCTGCTAGACTTTCACCGCTTCATTAGGGAGAACAATATCCAAAAGCAGACAAAGGGGAATTTGTCTCCAAGAGTAAGACAGATGGAAAAGCTGGCGGGGGTGGGGACCTAGGGGCCTGTGAGTACTCCTCCTCTGAGGAGCCCTCCGTGCCTGCAGACCTCACATCTCTAAGAAGACAGCCAGGGTGGGCGGGCCAACGTCCAGCCTTCCTGAGCCCAGAGCCATCACTATTCCAACACCGCCTCCCTAAAAATAGGGTAGGGCAGTCAGAGCCTGCATACCAGTTCAGGCTGGCACAGAGCCTGCCACCCGGTGGGTGCCCAGTGAGGGTGCAGGGCATGATGCTGGGACTGTGCCGGTCTGTATGTGTAAGGCAAGTATGTCAAAGCGAGTTTGACATGCGTGGGTAGGGCCACGCCTGGGGCCTGGCACCCTGGTTTGGATGGGTGAGTGGACACATGCATTTCTGTTGGCCCTCTTGGCTGCCTCTGCAAAGGGCCTCTGGTCTGATCAGGATTTGGATCCCACCAAGCTCTGTGGCTATCTCATCTTTGCTGACCATTTTGAGATAGTCAGCCACGTGGTTGCCCAAGGATAAGCCATCCATTCATCAGGTGTCAGAGTCTAGCCAAAGGTGGGGTGGGAGAGCCCCTAAAAATGAGTGCTGAATGTGCTTCTCATTCTTCCCTCTTGTCTGGGCTTTCCCAGTTGCTTCAAATCTGGGACCTTTCAGTCCTCAAGCCGACGCTCTATCCACTGGGCCAAACCAGCCAGGGCGAGAGGATATATATATGTATTTTTTTTAATTGATTAAGGTATTACAAATGTGTCCTTATCCCCCCATGGTCCCCCCACCCCCGAGAGGACATGTTTTTAATCACCATCTCTGGCTCTCTTGCCAATGTATTCATGTGTCTCCCGGCACTTAGCGAGGGTTTGCTGCCCTTTCAGACCCATCAGGCTCGACTAACCATTCCCGCTGCAGAACCTACTTTGCATCCCCACTCAGGCCCCTCCCCATTATGGTGTCTTTTTGGTCTCATCCTCACTCAGTTTGTGCTTCTGGTTCCTTTTCCCACTGAACCTCAGCTAGGTTGGAATAAAGACTCAGCTACAAATCAGAAGACTCGGGTCGTTGCTATCCCACTGCACTCACCACTTGCAGGACCAGTTACAGCTTATGGCAATGTCTGTGTTACAGAGGAGGGTGTAATTCGGGGATAGTGAGCCATGCTTAGCTGCTTCCTAGGGAATTCCTGGCCCACCAGTCTAAATACTGCCTCAGAGCTATTTACAGAACCTGATTTAACATTCTGCCTCCTGCATAAGCCTCAGCCAACCTCCCCTCCGCCTTGGTTGCTTTGGGGGCCAGGTGTCTTGAGAGGGCCTCTTTCCAGGGTTCCCACAGACAGTCTGCAGGAGGAAGAGGCGTGGGGGAGGGTGGCACATACTTATCTGAGGGCCTTTGTATGGAAGAGAGATTACATTTGGACTACGAAGATCAATGGAAGCCTTGGAGAGGAGGTTTTCAGTTCAATAGCATGAAGGACTTTCTAACAATTAAATCTGTCTGAAAAATGGAATGGGAACCCCTTAAAGAGACCCCTCTCTCCCAGGACTGCAGGTGGAGGTGAGCTCTCTCTCCAGCCAGAGCTGCCCAATGGCCCGTGACACACACCTGAGGTTTGTCGGTGTGATCAGGCAAGGCCTCCAGTTCTTGAGTCCGACTCCCTAGGCTCAAATCCCAGCCCTAACACTTACTAGCTCTATGATCTTAGGCAAGTTACGTAGCCTCTCTTAGAAATCCAGATGAAAACACATTAGATTTTCTTGACAATTGTGAGGGTTGGGTTTTTTGTTTGCTTGTTTGTAATGTTTGTCAAAATAATCTGTAGTTTTTAACAGTGAGATCGTGTTGTAAGCCTTTGGATGTGCTAAGCTCTTACTGGTTTATAGAAGTCATAAAAGAGAGGCCACCGTTTCTCGCTAGCTACAACAGAAAACAGCATTTTGTAATTAATTGTTATTTTACATACATACATAAACACAAACGTTAGTGCTTAGGCTTTCAGAAATTGTGATGAGGAAAATTCTTTTAAACCAACTAATTGAACTGCACAGGGTTAAGAAAGGTGTGAAAACAACAACTCACTTATTCAACAAACATTTATTAAGCACTCACCTACTGCAAAGCCTCTTGGGAAATGCCAATATGGCCTAGATCAGTGGTTCTCAACCTTCCTAATGCCGCGACCCTTTAATACAGTTCCTCATGTTGTGGTGACCCCCAATTTCATTGTGACAAATTGAACATAATTAAAGCATAGTGATTACTCACAAAAACAATATGTAATTATACATGTGTTTTCCGATGGTCTTAGGCGACCCCTGTGAAAGGGTCGTTCGACCCCCAAAGGGGTCGAGACCCACAGGTTGAGAACCGCTGGCCTAGATGCAGATTCTGCCGGTCAGGGACTTGCCATGAAGCAAATAACTACTTCAGACCCTTCCACTGTGAAAGTGGGTAGTGTCCATGGCTCTATAAACGCATAATGCTCAGTAGGGCATTTCGAAGTGGTTTCTATTACAAATGAAATGGGCAGGGCAACAATGGTGGGATATGTGCCCCTTCACTTTTCTCCCTGTTTTCCCTTGGAAGTCCAGCTTCTCCATGTTGATAAACTCTGTGTGCATATTGCCCCGGAATGAAAAATAACACTTTTTATTTCATTTGTACTTAGCACCATTCCTGTTCTGAAAGCCCGATGCCTAAAAAGGATGTAGGGAGAAATAAACATGGGATGCCCAAAATATCTTTTCTATGGGTTGCAGGGCATCCAGATTTGGAAAAGAAAGCTCTCTCTTCAGGAGCTCCTGTGGCCTGTAGCAACTTTCAGATATCCATCTCTTCAGCTTGTTAATTCATTGGGAACGTTTTCAGTGGTTCTCAACCTTCTGGCCCTTTAAATACAGTTCCTCATGTTGGGACCCAACCATAAAATTATTTTCGTTGCTACTTCATAACTGTAATGTTGCTACTGTTATGAATCGTAGTGTAAATATCTGATATGCAGGATGGTCTTAGGCGACCCCTGTGAAAGGGTCGTTCGACCGCCAAAGGGGTCGCGACCCACAGGTTGAGAACCGCTGGTTTAGAGGGAAACATGACGTTCCCCTGGCCCTGCCATTTATGTGAGTATTTTGATTCTTAACTGAGCATAGGGGACGTTGGCAGCCGTCTGGGAAACCAGAAACTTTAGCCCCCATCTGTCTAGACTAACTTGTCTCTTTAAACCATTAAAGAACAATAATAATTATCCTTTATTGAGCACTTACAACATGCCAGGTACTAAGTCACTGCATTTTCTCATTTGATCTTCACAATCCTATGAGGCAGGTACTAGTAGGATCACCATTTTACCGATGAGGAAACTGAGGCCCAGAGAAGGTAAATAGCTTATCCAGAGCCACATAACTAACAAGTCACTGAGCAAGGATTCAAATCCACAGAACCTATATTCTCAACTATTACTCTCAAACTGCATCTCCAAAGAGAGGGGAGTTCCTGCTGTACCAAAAAATAAGAGCTTTCAAAATAGTTCGTGGAAAGCCTTGAACTATCCCACCATTCTTGCCCTGCCCATTTCATTTATACTACAAACCAATGCAAAATAGTTCATTCTTTCTAGCAGAGTGAGAAATGTGAGCTGGCTACTAGGAGAGGCCCAGCATCCTATTCACAGTAACCCAGCATCCCATGAATGCCCTGGTCTGTGATGTCCTCTTGGACAGCTGGCTACAGAGAAGGTAGATAGAAAGGTGTCCACATAGAGGCTTCCACAGGAAACTGGGCTCACCCTGTCTGCTCTCTGGGGGCTTTCTCCAGGCCAGACATACTTAGGTGCCTCATACTCAAAGGAGCAGACTCAACTTCTTCCCTTTTCTTCTTTCCTTACCACAAGTTTTCTTCTTTTTTTTAACTCTCAACCGAGGATATGTTTTATTTATTTTAGAGAGAGAGAGAAACATCAATGTGAGAGAGAAACATCAATCGGTTGCCTCTAGTATGCGCCCTGAGCGGGGATCAAACCCACAA